ATAAATAATAGAATATCTATGACGTTAGACCAATACTAAAATAACAACAAAATTCTATCAACCAATATTTTAATTTTTGTTGTCTACTCTACTGAATCTACTTCAAACAGGAAAAATATCCTTAATTTTTCGCATTACGGGTCCCACCTGCTACATATCCTTGAGTTTTCCAGAGCCTTTTGAATACGTTATTCCTCCAAAACTGTCTTTCAATGTGTTATAGAAATTACTAAGAGTCCAAGAAAGTACCGACCCCCTCTAAAACGCACAGAAGCTACAAGAAATCTCCAAGGCTTACTTCAAACATTGCATTTTCGAGATACTGTTTCACAAATCCTAATAATTATGTGAGAATTCCTATCAGAATTTCGAATTAAAAAATGGTTCATGATTAACGGTTACTCCATAACTTTTCTAATATTTGCCTATTTCATTTTATTCTCCGGCATCATCTTTTGATTCTCTAACCTTCAAATTTTAGGCGATTAGCTGCACCTCACGCAGCCATGATTTAGCTTTTTCCGAGAATATTCGTCGAAAGAAGAAGGCAATTACTATATTGTATCAGAATATTTTGACATGAGAGGATAATCCGCGCATAACTGATTAGGCTAATGGGCCTTTATTCGTCTCAAATCCGCACGCTTCGCCGTCGCGAGCACACACATTCTGCGATACCGTTTCCTTCGAAAGACTAAAGCATTGTTCAAGTGATAGGTGATCGAAAAGCGAGAAGCGAGAGCAGTACGGTGTTGACGCAGACGTTCACGGGGCGAATCGGTTGACGGGGCCCCGGCCGGCTGACGGTTAAATGATGCACGTTTCATATTCTGCTCTTCACTCTTCGCCCCTTCAACCACACGGCAGCTCCGGCGATGATTAGGCGCGATTTCGACGTCCACGACGACTCGACCGTACCCACTTAACTCAGCGTAACCCTCTCACTTACCGCGAATTGTACCTAATTTCCACCCATTGTGTAAACCGAGCCTGGCTACCGTATACCCACGCAATGCGTGTAGATAATGCGCGACTTTATTGCCTGGTAATTATTCGGCCAAGCCGCGCCCTTCTATCCGGCTCTTACTATTCGACATAACATCTCTCGAACTCATCGCAGGCTTCTCGGATTTAGACTCCTTATTCCATCAAATCTTCTAAATCCCATTCGTCTCTCTTCTGTAGTCCAACTTTTAAATTTGTATCACTATCCAGAGTGGCTTAGGTGAATATAAACAGCATGTTTACAAGAAACTAATTAATTCCATCCTTTTTCGGTATGCCTGAAATTACACCTCATTTAGGTATCCCGCATCCATGAAGCGCAAAATCTAGAATCCCATAACACATCAAGAAATTGGGCAAAATTAATAATGAAAGCCCATTCCACTTTTGTAGGGGTTTTTTTGTGGTTACTTGATAATTTTATGAGTATGGCTTACTATCATTTGGATTCCAAAGATTTGGACAATCATAGTTTTGACTGCTCAATTTTCGATCAACTTTTACTTTGTTAGATTCGATTCTTTGGCCCATTCCACTTCTGAAGAACTGGAAAGTGAACATAAAAACATAGGTATCACATTAAGCTACATAAAGTTTATAGAAATCAAGTGGATTTCGAAAATTCCCTATGATTGTGTTACCAAAGGCCATAATAATTTTATGGGTATGGCTTACAATCTGCAAAAAAAATCTGCTTTCGAGGTTTCTTAATGTAGCTTCAGATGCGTATATTCCAACTTTTTGGGTACATGATTACCTCAATAAGAATTGCATTTTGAAAACCACGGTTGCAATAGGCGGGTCTGCGATGGACTCGAACTCTCAGAGGCCTGCAAACGAATTTTAAAAACTTTATTGCAAGTAAACGGAGAATTGACCACAAAATGTGGGATATATTATATATAGTTTCCATCTTGTACGAAGCACAGACTACGAAACACAGTAATACGTATTTGAATTTTTCCCTGTTGAATCACAAGTTTCATTTTTCATGTGCAGAATCTCAGAGATTCCAAGTTCATGTTATATAATCCAGCAAATAAGCTAACCATAATATGGCGCGCAGATGTGAATTAAGAATGGCGAAATTTTAGCGCGGAAAAGTTACCAAAGCCTCTCCTTCCAACCAATAATTTGGTCTTTTTGAAAAATTTCCTTATGGCTTGACTAGATTCAACACACTCCGCTTGTCCACACACAGTTCCGGGATCGTACTTTCTGTAATAGTAAGCGTTTTCGGACTCGGAGGACTTAAATCTCGTTTTGTCTTCTAACCCACTGAGATATGCATCTGTCTTTTGGCGTTACTGCCTGGTAAACGAAACGATCAGCCCGCGCGGTCCATAACCGAAATCCGTTTGTTCTGATCACAATCTCACTTCAGCCTCCACTTCATCCAGAGTTTTGTAGACATTCTGTACTTGTAAGCTTAGGTATTGCTACCCCCTAACCGTCTTGGCGAAAAGATTTGCAGCGCTGTACGTGTCTGGAAACTGCGATCATGCGAAATTAATCAGTTAAAAGTGGCGGATTTACACGCCTATTTTCTACGGGCTGCGACTAGCTTAATCGAGATTTTCGCTGCAGGATTCAACGCTCATCAACTTACGGTAAACAACATTCACAGCTCCAGTATTCCGCACTCTCGCTTCATCAGGACTTCCTATTTCATTTTCTCATTCTGCTTATGCATCTTGCAATCATCTCTGAGTATTCTTCCTTTTCTCTGTAAGACCACGGTGCACGAGACTGACGCGGCTACGGTGAGCTGTGCGCCGCGTCATTTATCCGCTTCTAATCCGGGCTTGTCAATTTGACAAATTACAATTTATTACACACTATATTCAACATGTACAACGCTGTTTTTGTGTGTAGTAATGTAAACTCAAGGTAATATTTATAATTGAGGCTGCAAGCAGCCATTTTTCTTGTGCTTGCCGGCTTAATCCGCAAGTTTTATGAGTTAATCTCGGGTATACGGTAGCGCCAACCTGCAGCTGCGATTTTAGATTTTGAACTCTTCCTCATCTGAGTTGATACAGGCTCCCTAGGAACGGTTTTCGAGAACAAAGACAAAAAGTTGTTCATAATTTTCCAACCATACTATTGAGGTAACATCCATCCATGTGGTAATCATTTAATTGTTATAATCGACAGTCATAGGCTTTACCAATATCTCGGCTAAAGGTTATTTTTTCAGAAATGTACTTTGTTATAATGAATATGGCTAACCGAGCAGCCTTAGGTGGAAAACAACTTGAATAGAATGATTCAATTTCCCAATTTTCCAAACGATTGTTCCAGAAATTTGCCTTTTATATAAAGTTGAGTTGTGAATAAAACATGCAGGAGTTAGTGACCATAAGCTTTAGCTTCCTTTGCTCATTCATATTCTAGCCTTCATTTCTAAAAAGAATACTCTTTGTATGCTCTAAATAGATTTATACGATGAATAGCATTTTCCCTTTCTGGAAGAGAATTCTAGTAAATAGTTGTCGTACTCTTATAGATCTCTGTAAAATGTATATTGGCTGGTTACAGCAGAAAATCAAAAATTGGGAGTTTTGAAATAGAAAGGGGTCCTGCCTATATTATAGCTAGATGAGGATTGTTTTGTCCAAAGACAGTTTGTCTCCTTATAAGTCGCTCCCAATATTTCTTAACCCTGGAACATCAACAAATAGACATTTATGAAGCTTTTTCTAGGTATTCATAAACGGAACCGTTCGCCTCAGACCAGGTTGGTCAGTCAACCTGGTGTTTTCTGCTCTCCCGTGCTGTATTCAGATAAGGGAAAAGTTTTGTAGAGGCACGTGTAATCCTCATAGAGAAGAGCCTGATCTTTCCAGCAAAAAACAATGTGATCTCTTTCAACAAGCGGTGCTTTTACAATATACTCTTTGGGTGTCATTTTAACATAGAAATATATAAATTTCAGACTAATTTTCGAGTCATGCTTGTTCACCAGGCTCGTCCCAAAAGGGGACTCGAGTTTAGATTGTGATACGCGTAGCTCGGGTATGAACTGTGCCTAGGCCTTGGCTCTTTTGTTTGATCAAACGCGAGCGACATTTTCCATGTGCGGTGAGGAGGAGAGCAATTCCGAGCGGTGTATCATCCACGTATAGGTTTGGACAGTACACATCAACCCCACCCACCCTCCATCAGCTCGCGCTTTCATCGTCCATGCCTCGGTTCGGAAAGCCACCCGCATAAAGCCTGAGCTAACAGTTTGTCTCGCTCAATCATCAGCATCAAACTCCATTTCTGGGCTGATAAAAGGTTCTTCAAATTTCTAAAAATTCAATCTAGCTTTTGCACGAATTTATATGGCAGTTTATCACAATTTTCGTTGAGAAACCTTTACTCAAATAAATCTGTTCTGTCTCGTAAGAAAAGTTTCTCCTAACAAGTCAGAACTTCGCTGAAGCCCTGTCTACCGACTTCTTAAAGACCAACAAGAATAAAATTCATGGAGGTTACTTAATAATAAATTACTCTTAGTTAGCTTTCGAACTTTCCTGATTTCCCAAAGACTTTAGCCTTCTCATAGGTGGATGTAAACATTAGAAAAACTCTACTTCAACAATCTACGAAAAGTTTCAAACACGAGTAAAACTTCCGTAGGTCACCCGTGGAATCTTTGTCGTTAATTTTCCGGAACTTCTGCATCTGGTTTGGCTCCGGGTGACTTCGTGGCATTTATCTGTGCTTTTTTATGAGCTACTTTGGAGTTTGTCTTACTCTTTTTGAGCAAACAGGACCATCTCGTTTTTATAAGCGAACTTGTTCTCATTTCTATGTATCATTTGGGTTTTCGAAACTCTTAAGTGACGTAACCGATTACGTTGTAAGAAACAAGTTTGAAAATTTGCAAATTCAACATTTGTTACTTAACACCATTGTTTCCACATTTCCGTTGATTTTTGAAAGTCTTCTTTGTCGCTTTTCCTATCCATCATCTCGACGATAATCCTACATCTGTTTCTTCTAGATATATGGTACAAAAAAGTAGCAGATTGAGATGAGTGCTGCTGCCACTGAAGGACCGCCTGAGGCGAAGAAATTCCGCATTGATCTACCTACTCAGGTATCTACCTACAAATTTCACAGTAATTCAACGTGCTGCATTTAAGTAGAATCATGGGTGGAAGATTAGAGACTTATGCGACTAAGAAGAAGCTATATCTGTAGAGCTACCGCGCAAATCTTTTTTACATTTAATTTCTTATGGTTTGAGAAGCGGGATCATCCCGCAAGTATGCCGGTGCCACTTAATGTGGGTGAATCAAAAGAATTTGAAGGCGATGTGATTTCTGAATAAGAGCGGATTAGGTCAAAAAATAGTTGTCTTATCTTTGGAATGCAAAACTTTTTTCGTCCACTGCCTTACCATATCAACACAGTAATCTCCGAGCATGATTCGGAGAAAATAGGAAGAACATGAACTCAAGAGCGCCAATCTTCCTAGGAGTGGGGAGGGGGAGGGTGATAAAAACCTGAAGAAGAGAAAAAACTGCATCCGGCAAATCTTTTTGCTTTATTTTTTCTGTGTCAGACAGCTAAACTTCTCTACAGTTAATAAGCAAATTACTTTGAACTAAATTTGCTCTCAGCAGAGCTATGAAATGAAAAAATCAACTCGGGACCAGAATTATACACTATAAAAAAGAAACTTTCTAATTTTCTTTATCTAATTGTCTAACAGACAGTTATGAAACATATACAAATTGTTAAGTCTGATAATTTTTGACTCATGTTGGCGTTGGAGGTGTGACAATAGCCAAAAGATGATTCGTTTGCTAATTTTAGCAGAATACTCCACAAAGATGCAGTAAAACTGTATACAACATACGGCTTTGCCGAGAACTCTTGCTGAATAATAATGATCAGAGTAGAATATTTATCACTACATAATATTCCTAGAGTGCCTGTGACTAAGCAAAAGTGCTAGAAATAGCTTCAACGAAAACTCTATTTTTCGCTCAAGCTGCTTAGGAAATGGCGGCGCTTGATTTTTCGTGTGAAAGCTGAAGTTTGTAAAAGCACCGTAACCCGCTGGTGAATTACAAAATCGCATCTTTGTGAAGAGTCGTAAAACATCTCGGCAGTAGGCAAGCGAGCGAGTGGCGAGTCGGGCGCGTGTCGTTCGGGCGTCGATCATCCGCGAGAAGCGCAAATCGCGAATAAACAGCGTTACATAGGTGAATGTGGCTTTCTGCATTTGATGATACATGGGAAAACGAGCCGAGTGCTGCGTGAAAAACGAGCAGGTAGAGCAGTTTGTGGTGGGAAAAAACGGCTTCCGATGATGCATCGCGGTCGTGTGCCGGCTGTGTGGCGTTCGTTCGTCGTTCGTCGTGCGACCACCGGGGCGATCGTTGAATTGCTGGCTCCTTTCTGGAGGGGGATCGATTTTCAGATTCTGGATGGGGTTTCTGTTTCGAAATCTTAGCTCATAGAAATCTTCTTTAGGTTGTTGTTGAGCCTGCTCTTTGCTCGTCTGAGTCTCCGGATGCGCCCGCCGCCGCCGAGGGACAGTCCCCTGCCGGACCGAGTTCGGCCCGTTCCACAAATGACTCTGAGGTAATTGCCTTACCAAAACTCCTCAAAAATTTTCTCAATTGTCTCATTTCAGATCTCCTCAGGATCCGTAGAGAAAGACGATGAGCCTGAACCTGGAATGACTGGCAACATTCTCGAAATGATCAGCAAAAGTCTACTCGGCAACGCTTTCAAGGTAATCCTCCACACCTCCACCCGGCACTAGTACACTCGCCAGCCACCCAACGCGTTCTGTGTTTATCCAGAGAAATGGTCATCCTTCACTCCGTGTGTACTTTGCGTGTGCTTTAGATACATTCATCGCACCACGGTGCGATGATCTTCTTCCGAACCTCGTAAAAGTGAAAGTATTTGAGAGGAAGGGTAGGGTTGGGGAAAGTGTCAGAATATTAGGCATTACCGCTAGCTAGTAAGCAGCAAGGTAAAACTGGATGGCGCTTCCTGGTCGAAAAGTTAGCAGAGCTCCAGTAATTCATGAGCCTTGATTCCATTCACATTTTAGTCCTTGAATGCAGACATGAATACTTCTCATCACCTACTTTTCTCATAAGTAGACCGTCTATAGATCTTTGATACACGTTAAAAAATATAATGTACAATTCTAACGAGAAATGGATTATCTGCGCGTGAATATCAAGCCGAGCTTAATCTTCTCAAATACCGTAGACGAGGTAAAAGCGGTACCTAATAGCCGGATAAGCTACCCAAGAACGGTGGCTGAGCTCGGGTTGACACTTAAAACGATTGTAGGGATCGGACACGTCCCGTGACGTTCTGTAGAGATTTGTAGAAAGAGAGTAGAGGAGTGAATTGTTGTGTTTTTTGAGTGGGACCAATACTTCGAAATTTTGGAAAAGTAATCATTTCACTTTCAAGTGATTTAATTAAGCTTTTTGAAATTTTGAAAGAATTTTTGAATGCGAGTTGATAGAATTTAAATTAAAGGACCCAAAGACAAGTTTTCTTATTGAATCTGCTCTTTGCAAATAACCTTCTAAGATCGCCTCTCGAACACCATTGTAAAGAGCAGGGATAATTCCAGAAAGTCTTCCTGGAAAAATAAGAAAAAAAAGAAATATCCAAGGTTCTAAATTCTGCTATCGACAAGGAGTAGGTTGCGAGTTGTAGCTCACCATTTTTTCGTACAGTTTTGACTCCTCAAAGAACTATCAGAAATTATTCGAATCTACAGCCTCCTTTCTAATAATAAGACAAAAAAAGGACAAAGAACTTGTTCTTGTGTTATTATCACTTCAATAAAAACAAATCAAAACTTCGTCAGTCGGCTTTCGAAAACTCGATATGATCACAATTCTGAGAATGATCAAAAAGGACATAGCCTCTCGCACACACTTTTGATGGATTAGGAGAGCCGGGGAAAATCTTGCTTCAAAAAATTTTGTCGAACTTTTCAGTGAATCTGATCGTTTAGCGAGGTTTTTGATGAGCAGTTGAATGCTCTCTCATTTTCTCATTTCCTGGACGGAAACGTCTGAATTTTTCTTTACAGTAAAGTGGGTGTACGTCAGTTTTCTAGTTGTAAACAGCTGCTAGACTGCAGCTACTGTAGCTTTCTTACTTGAAACTCAAATGCGATTGCTGTTGAAAACCGTCGACCTCCTTTGAGAATAAGGCTGATAATGACCGACAATAGTTGAAGTCGCGTATTCGCCAGTTTTTGCCCTAGTTCGAACTTCTTACCTTCGTCTGTGACAGGTCCAGCCACACACCTTACAACAAGTTCACACTCAGTGTCGAACCCGAAGGAGGTCACAACTTTAGCGTGACTTTTTCTCGCACCCTCTATGAACACTGTAATTATGCCGCAGTGTGCTGGTTATTCGAGTGATTTGGTGACTTTTTCCTCGTTCAAGTTATGCGTCGAACCTTGGCGGAGTACAGAAGAGCGCCGTGATGGCTGCTTGTACAAGCACCGATAGCGCTACTGCTGTCGAGGGGGGGGGGATAGTTACACAAAATAAAAAAATCAACTCCCATAGCGACTATAGCTCACTGCAAATTAAGTGTAATTAAGGGGGGAGGGGGTAATGGAAAACATTTTGTAGCCATAACAGTGAGAATGATGTAGATAATGCTCTATGCGTCTGAGATCAGTCACTGCTTAGAATGAATCTATCAAACAGTGGCCTCCCAAAAATTTTCTACGGGGAGGGGTGAAGTGAAGGGGAGGGAAGGGGAAAGGCAACAAAGTGGCGTTAGGCACGCCCTCTCAAACATATTTTTCGAGATCCTTTGTTTTGGATCGCTAAGTATGAGAAGAGGGCGGCCTTGACGGCAGCCACACCTCAAAATTTTTTAAAGGACCAAGTTGCATCACTTTTAAAAAAATTTACACCCGAAACCTTGAACCACTTTCAAAATTTTTTCGGACTTCTTCGAATTCGTTTGCGGCATAGATGAATTGTTACATACATTTCTGAGAATGCGGATTTTGGGCTTTTATACAATTACTAAACAAACTTTTTTCAATCTGAACAATTAAATAAGGTGTTAGTAGGGATTCGAAGAGATAAAGGGATCAGTATCATCGTTGCGAAACTCTGCTCCTGCTTACTTGTATAAGACTGATCAGTCCAACATAATTCTTGTATTTTTACTTACCTTGATTTCAATGCGACTGATGAAATGCTTCAAAATCAAAGGATTTGGACTTACTGGGATCCCCACTTCAATACATTGGAGTGAAAATCTTCTAGTAAGACTTCGATCCTTTGTCAGATTATTCTCAGCACAGTGATGTTTGTCTCATCGTCGGTCTTTTAAGTATATTTGATTCAGCTCAGGGGCTTCTTAGCAAAGTCAATCCCAAACAATCCGAGCGAGGATCAGATCCTGTGTACATTTTTCTAATGTATGTTGAAATCTGTGACCGATGGACTTCCTGGAAAATTCATACCACTTGATTCAAGCAAAGAAAGAAAAAAGTGAATACAACTAAATTTCAAGAAAATCAAGATTAAAGATCATTACTTTGTAAATAGTCTTGTTAGGATATGAGGGCTTTGATAGTAACTTGCAATCCCGTAACACAGCATACTCTTGTGTGGAAATTTATGGTAAGCTTGTTTGGGGAAGGAGGGGAGGGGGGAATGCGTTTCAGAAGGTGAAGGGATCTTGCTCGCGTTAAGTAGACAGCTTTGTCTTGCTCAAACTACCTAGGACACCTTGTCCCCGTGGGATTATCCCCGAACGACAGGAACAAAATGAGAACGCGTATCCCTTCGGGACCTCAGCAACACACCCATCCGTCATCCCAAGCTGATGATTCGTTTTTCAGTTGGATGAAGTATCTCGTCCACCTCGTTTGCCGTCAGTACCGGCATCGCCCGTTCCGGCACCTATCCCTGGAGCCGTGGCTGTGGCACAATCGCCTGCGGCGCAGCTTTTCTCCGAGGTTTGTGATTTTCCTTGTTTGGTTTTTCACACATTAGCGAATTTATAGGTGAGAAGAACGATGGAATGGTTTCAGGATGACTGGAGTTGGCATCGTAATCCTGCAGCGGCGATACGCTCCGGTGGCACCAACAAGCAGACCCCTGTGTGGAAGTACTTCGTCTACAATAAGGCCGAGAATCTAAGCAGGTTGGAACCATGGAACAGGAATGGCACTTTTGAACCGCTTGCCATAGCGCGCTTTGATTGGTCACACCGGATCGGCTGCTATTGGCCAGTCTTTGGGCGGGGCGTAGCTATAGCAAAGACCGGACGAGTTGTCGAGCAATATATCTACTTTTGTACATCTGTATGTTTGTGTTAGTGAGAATAAGTGTGACCGTGGATTTACAAGTTACAAACTGTAATGTTTTTTCAACTGCATAAGGCAACTCGTCCATTGCCGCGCGCGAACGGTCCACAAGGGTCCATAACCGCGTTGAAGCGGTGCTAGAAATATTTCTTCGTATTGACACTGAAAAATCAATGTCTTTCAGGTGTATAATCGGTGACTGTACATATAGCTTGAAAGGACCACATACTAGCACACTTGCATGCCATTTGAAGAAACATTCGGCAGAATATGCTGAATTTCAAAAACTGAAGGTAATCAGAAATTCCTTGCACTAAAAAACTCCCAGAAACCCAGTTCTCTAGGTGGACTACACTCGTGAGCGTTACGGTGGCCAGCTCCCTTCCTCACCGTCTTCCTCTGCTTCCGGATCTAATAATTCCACAACCAGTAATAACCCACCCGCCCCTAAACCACAGAAACCAAAGAAGGAAGCGAGAACGGACGTTAGGTAAACACCATCATAGCGGTGACCACATCACTTAAAGAAAGCAATGTGTAACTTACAGTAACTTCATGGCTGCTCTACGCGCTGGCACACCGGCGATCCCTGGCCTGCTCCAGAATCTGATGCAGAATCCGCTTCAAATGATGCTCAATCCACAAATACCGACCTCTTCGGCTAATGTGAATGCTGCACAAGCTGCGAATCAAGTGCTGCAACAAGCGGGTAATAATATTTTTACTGTCAAATACTGGATTCTGTAGAAAAAATTATGCCTAATCAGCAGGTTTGACTATCAGCTCGTCTGGGCAAATCATGCAGTCGAAGAAGTGGAGAAGAGACGAGCGCCGTCAACGCGAACTGGAACAACGACTGGCGCTGGCTTTGACCACTTCACATCTAACTTCCGAAGCTCTAGCGAATCCGCTATGGAAAGAGCTTATGGAAGCAGCACAGCCTAAATTCACCTTGAATGACGATCCACAGTATTTCGAGCAGGTGAGCTAGCCTCTATATAGTTTCGCGCCGTACTCGGTTATAAATGGCATCTGAATTAGCGAGCAAAAGTGTTGAAGCTGTCTCTCAAGGGCACTGTCGTCGTCGATCTTCGACCTCCATGTTCTCCTCATTTTGAGACCGATTTATGGCCCTAATTGCAAAAATGGAGATAAAGAAGCGCAAAACCTCAAAAAACCTTCTTTGTGAAGCTTCCTGTAAGCATGGACGAGACGAGTGCCCCGACTAATCCTGTCAGATCGAGCAGAAACACTGATAGAGAATGCATATCGATTTGCCTGACATCTCTCAACGCGTTTAGGGACATTCTTTAGGTGGGCGGGATCGGGGTTACGCCCACTAAAAGAGGCGTGGTCATTAGTAGGCGATAAACTGGGCATGCCTTTAGGGATGATCAAATCCAAAGACAAAAAGTGCGAAGCGAGGACCAACTACAAAAACTTATCAAAAATGTAATGAGCTGTAAATATTTTTTTAATCTCTATTGTACTTTCTGCGAAGGTAGTGGCCACGCTTGGGTATCTGTATAAGAGGACCATACTCAAGGACTCTGATTCCGATCGAAGAGGGTAGGTTCTGGGCGAGAGTTTAGGGTGAAATATCTTGGCCGTGAGTGAATCGTTGGCGCAATGACTTACGCAAAATACCGTGCTACCCCTTACGAGCTCAGTAAGATCCTTGATCAGTTTCCACAAGAGAAGTCTAAGTATTCAAATTTGTCTAGGCATGCAATGTTAACAAAATCAAACTTCTGTGCGAGCCTTTAGTCAAGCGCTCTTCAAGAGTAATGCAAGCATTTTCAGTTGGTTTCCACCCTCCACCTTCGTCTTCTACAGTCCATCAGAGCATTGTTGGCCTCAGCAGTCTGGGTGACAGTGCTCGTCGACTGCATTCGTCTCCCTCCCGCATCTGGAAGCGATGAACCGCTCGTCAGATTGTGCGTTTCAGCCGCTTTCCCAGCATTTGTAAATCAGAAGTATGAGGTGAGAATGAAAGACAAAAAATGAAATCTAAGCTCATATTGAATATTTAGGTGCAAGTGGTTTTGCTGGCGTTTCGTCCATTGGTCCAAGCCGACAACACTTCGGAATCTGTAGCCATGACCATTGATCAGGTTGGTGTCGATGATTACCTGGGATAAATGAATCTCACGATCAGTCATTATGATAGCATAGTTCAGGGAAATTTCGATAAAATAGGGGAAAAGAATCGCAGATGAGTGGAAAATTTGAAAAAAAGAATTGAAAACTTAGAGAATAGAATAGTAGAACATATTCTGTGAAAGATGTATTTCTCAATTTGATATCTGGATAAAATGTAATTAGCATGATTATGGGAAACATATTACATCTCGCACAAATGGGTTGAGGTATGTGCGCTATTGAAGCAAATGACGATCGTTTGGCATAGCATTACTGTAACGTTACGGTACTCACACTGCAGTGGCGCAAAGCCGCAGACGTTAAAAAAATACCATTTACTGGAGATGTCCGTAGTATCGGCTCATTTTTAAGTCAAAAGTTCGGCGCCGATTTAAAAAAAATAAACACAAAATAAGCAAATTATTTCGTGTCCTAATTACAAAGTCCGTGACTATGTGAAGTCACGTTAGAGGATTACTTTACCGAGTAATTGCAGTTCGACGTTGTTCAGTTGCACTTCACCGGCCCGTAAAATGTTGTTTATCCCATGTAAAACCATCTGTGTTCACCAAAGTCTTTAGTTTGTAAATTCACAAGCAGTATCTAATCTCCAAGAAGAAAGAATGTCCAATAACTTTCAGGTCTTATCAGACTTCGATCTTCCACAGGAGAAAGTGACGAGGATTGTTTGCTCGGGGTTGAAACAACTCCTAGATGATGACGATGGTTGCGTCGTTGACAAACAGGTGATCATAACTTAATGCGTTTTTATATCGCTCAAAATCTAATTTTGTGAAATTTAGATGGAGCCGTTCAGTCAGCGAATCATGTCGTGTTTTATGCGCTTTCTTGATTCGAACTCGACGATCGATGAGTTGCGAAAGAGCGTCTATCAAATGATATTCGCATTTGTTACACGACCAGAATCACTGCAGGCTCTGAACAAGGCTGCAGGTAATTTTTTTCTTATCTTACCATCGGGTTCTACTATATTTTTTTGTTATAGGAAGGATAGTGGAACTACCTCTAAGTGAGCCGTTCCCAGTCTTGGCTGAAGCAGTGATAAACATCAAACATGCCATTGATGTGGTCGCTTTGGATGGTGTTACGCCTCATCTCACTGATGAACAATGGTTAGTTCTGCTAGATAGTGAGGAATAAAAAAAGATTTGAGCTTTTGAGGGTGTTCATAATTCAATTTAAAATTGGCAGTAACTTCAAGCCAAAATCCTTGGTTCCTAAAATTCGGATTGTGAAAAGTCAGAGTAGAATTTTTGGGGATCCAAAATGCTTAAGACATATTTGTGAAATTTTGTAAAGTTTCATCGAGCATTATATGACAGTTATGAGTGCCGAAAATTTCTATAAAGATGCGGCAAGTTAATTTTTAAAATGAAGGTGTCTGTAAGATATTTCAGAAAGCTTTTTAAATTTTTTTAACAGGCTTGCAAATGGCAAAAAACTTTGTGAAAGACTCTTCATGAGCATAACTTTATACGAAAAGATGAGGGCTCCTGATTAGTATGTTGAAATATCGTCATACGAGAAACTACAGTTTTCTTGAGATTGAAGATTCTTCACAGACAGAAGCATAGGCTATGAAGATTTCATACAATAACTCAAAAAATATTTCATTCTTTGTTGAAATCTTGTTCAGCGACTTTTGATTACACCGTGTTCTCATACAAAAAAGTTTGAAGTAGTCAAAATTTCGGAAGCGATATTTTCAACCACTGAAGTGGTTGTATGCATTTCTAATGAAGTTATCTTAATTATTACTTTGAGATCAGTTGTTATAGATAATTTTGCGGTTTCATTATAAGACAGTGGTCATTTTTTTTCAATCTCAGGAGTCAACTACGTGGTGTTTGCAATGCTGCGGCACTATTCCGGCAATATGCCAACGGCATCACCGAAGGCGAATGTCCAACGGTAGACAGCGTGGTCCCAGCCATCAAGCAGATTGTTCATGCTTTGGACAAGGTAATCAAAGTCAGCTACTGGCTTTGCTGTTTTTCAAGCAAGGCCTTCTAGGACTCGATCGAGCTTGGTGCACTTGCCGCTCAGCTAAAGGACGTCGTTACCGAACGCCTTGCACCGATCACAGATGTGAATCACGAGGAGTTCGATGGCACCTATATCCAAGCTACTGCGCTGAACCCACAGTTGGCTGTACTGCTCAGCGAGCAGCAGCTCTCCTATGCGAGATCTGCCATCGAGCAGGAGGTAAGTACTATTTTTCTCTTAAAGTCACTAATAAACTAATTCTGTTCCAGCTCCACTCTCGACAGCCACCTGTTTCCTCCTCTCTTGGTGTCGATGCTCTGCTGGCATCAGTGCTCACATCATCTCCGGATTCACTTCCCCTCTACTCCGACTTGCTTCAGCACGCGCAGCAGGCTCAGCGACTGCAACAAGTAAGCTGCTTGCTCAAGATATTCCTAGGAAATATGTTTCCTCTTTCTTGTTTGGGATAATGGCAGAGTGTAAATTTAAAAAATAATAATAATGACTCAGAAGTAAAAAAAAGCATATTGCTCTTAATGGCCTCCTCGGAGTACTTGGAATGTCTTTACAATCTGCTCCGTTTATCTAGCTTTCAGAGGATATTTAAAATGAACTTCCAAACTCTTTCAAGACACTTAGACTGCTCTACTTTTATAACTAGGAAAAGAATAAAAGTTTACATACATAGAGGATATTTCTGAATAGCTCAAAATTTCGTATTTCGCATCAAGTTCTTGATAAACTTTCCGATTAATAAAGCAATAGCAGCGTCTTACCTCTACTGAACGGCCTGAAAAATTATACGCGGTTGCTATTCTTTTGATTGATTAGGTTGAGTGCCTATTATCTACAAAAAATTACCCAGTTCTATAATATATTTGAAAATGGTCTCGTCTAGTGCATTTATTATTTCCTGATATTTCCCTGTTGCTTGCCTAGTTGAACAACGTGTTCCATATCCCAAACTCAGTTTGTATAAAATTTGGCTTCGTCCGATATTAGTACGGACATCATATGAATTGAACTGGCATCATAATTTTCTTAAATGGTGTTTATAATCTGAGTCTCTTTATTTGATTTTTGAATTTGTTGGACAACTTTCAAGAGCCAGAAGCAAGCTCTTTATCAAAGCACCGTAAGATCGATGATCTCGCATGCAAAACAAATCTGTAGCATTTTTTAATTCATCTGATGTGTGAAATCCAGCGGGTTATTGTAATCTGTTGCATCAACTCAATGAACATTTAAGCATGCTTTAAACCATCGTAAAGGGATCTTCGTCCTACATCTAATACTGGCATCAATCGACGCGTTGAAAATTGCTCAAACTTTTTTTGGCTTTTAACAATCGATGCTCTCACAGAGGAACAATGGCTCAGCAGCTGCATAAACATCATTTGAAACTCAGTTAGAGGGTATGGATGATTGTTAGCCGTAACTGTGGTGCATCTAGTGGGAATCAAAGAACGAAGGTCACAAAGTAGGGGTGTTGTGTTTGTGTTAGACTAAATCAGAATGTTAAAGTCCTCAAATGAGGTAAAGATTATCATTGCGGAACAGTTCCAAGAGGAAGAAGAATCGTCTAGAATTCAATGGATATGTAAGAGATGCAAAATGGAAACAAAATCTGCTAAAGCAACTTCCAAAATTTCTACACTGAATAGCTTAATGAAGATGGAAGCTTATTCGTAAACGGTTATACAAACCTAAGTCAAATGAAAACAATTCCGCATATATAAATATACTCAACTTTTTTATCAGAATAGGTTCATGAAACTGAAAAAGTTCTCTCAGAGATGAGTTTGAAAAAAATCACCTGCAAATGGCAATAGAATCAAACAGTAAATTTTTGGCAATAAAGTTCAAGGAGCTAGAAAATTATTGAAATAGAATGTAGAGGAAATCGTTTACAAGTGGAAACAAAACCTGCACAGTCCTCAAATTAAGCAAGTCAAAAATTTTTACGGCTTCTTGTTCTTCCGCTTTTACGAAGCCATAAGAAAAACGAAGATTTGGAACTTGTTAGCTTCAAATTCCAATAGACAAATTCAAAAAATTATTGTTTTAGGAACGCAACTCGCAACCTCTGCGCGATAGGATAACCGAAGCCGCGCTCTCATCGTACTTTGATGAACTTCTCAGCGGGGTAAGCTATATCACCTGATTTCAAAAAATCACACATATATGAATCTTTCAGTCCCCTGCGGAAGCTCTGTTCTCTCCTCTGCGATCGTTCGGCAACCCGCTTCAGACCCCTTTGGTGTTCTGGCAGGGCTGTATGCAGCGGTGCCCGACGTTGGCCAGTCTGGCACTGGAGCTGCTCTCGATTCCGACGACGACGGTGACGGCGGCGTCGTTGCTGTCGCTTCGCGGGGCGTCCCCCTTCCAGAAACCCGACCCGATCCCGATCCTGTCTCACTTGGACAAACCAGAGAGACTCGATCGAAATCTTTTACTTAGATTCAACAGGAATTTTATACATAAGGCTTATTAAGTGGCTGAGACGAAGCTCGGCTTTTGTTGTGCATTCTTAATGATTTCGAGTATATTAACATAAGTAATTGGCTTAGCGCGTAAATAACTTGAGTATATACTAAATGTATTAACTTATTGCATTGACACATTGTTAAGATGAATCCTCCTCTCTACTCTCTGCATTTCTTTCCAACCATTGCATTCAATCCATGAGACGCTTTAATCCCCCTCTTGCCGATTTCTCGACATCTTTACTCTTTGTTTTCTTTGTAGAATTTGTCTAGATGATTATATCTTTTTATACTTTTATCTTTGCTTCGTTTTTTGTTGTTTTTTTTTGCTGCTATACTAGCAACCCCACACTTACTCCGTTACATAACGCCTCCTCTTCCATGTATTTCATCGTCAGTGCAATACGATTTAGTCGCTCCCGAACCTGTGATGTCACTCTCCCCCCCCCCTGATAGTAATCCCCTAACCTTTAGAGAGGAATCCCTTGAAATACAAAATTATCGACACTCAGACGGCGCACATTATAATTTTTACCCCTCACAACACACTCGCATTCCCGCGTTCTCGTACCTATCGTGCCTATTCCCTCTTGTTATAAACTCGAATACATGTGCAAATGCTTATATCTGAACTTTATATTCTGCACTACTCTCCTCTTGCATTCACACACTTTGTACGCCGTCAGTGTTAAGTCGTGGAATGCTTGTGATAATATGGTCGTACTTCTTATAAATACGGTTTTTATTCGTGTCGTGCGATCCATCAAGATTGAGTCGCTAATTTTTGAGGTCTATAGAAACCTGCAAAATTATGCTACTGTTTCTCGGCTGCAGATAATAGTAATAATTTCATGAATTACATAAGTTCTTTGGAAAAACCATATTTGATGGAAAAAAGTCTGAAGCCCAAGATCCAAAGGTGGGCAACGTTACGCCCATTCGCTCGCAAAATATCTGTCGGTCCCATACCTAAAAAACCATAGGAAAGCTTTCTCAACTATCTCATTGCTTTTGAATGCTTTTCTGCTATCAGATGTTAGCTGCCAATTACGTGAAGCAATTTTGGAAAGGAAAGGGGTTGCTTGACTGGTTTGAGGCCTTGTGGCATCTTGCATGTACAATGACCGCAAACTCACTGACCTTCACGACCACATAGGGTCCTACACTTGTGCGTTGTAAGTTAGGTTTAGCATTTTGTTGAGAAATGGGGGGCGGGGACTCGTACTGAAGATAAAAGCTAGTCTCTTTTTCTTGCTCATGGAATCTGATAGCAAACAATTGACCTTTTTTGGGACAAAAATGCTGCCGTGCTCTGGACAAGGAACCCAGGAATTGTACCTTTTCCAAGGCTATTATGTCATCCTACGGTGTATGCTTGCTTATTGCGAATTAGTGCGCAAATACCTACGGTACGATTAGGGCGTATTTGCTGTAGAGTAGGTCGTTATGAAAAGTTCTGTCCGATCTCTAGTTGCCCTATAACGCAACTATTTCGATTTTGCACTTATCGCAAGATTATAGAAAACTTCTAGAAACAATGTTTTTCATTTTTTTTCAATGTTTCAATGTTTTTCAATGACTCTTGATGAAACAATTTCCCAGTGATAAAATTCCAAGCTCCGAAATCGAGTTACTAGAATGCAGTTATGCTCAAGAAATATTTTCTACAAGGACAATTTTCTAAAAACCCTATGTGAAACCCTATGTGATAAGCTGGGATGTAATGGGGTAACATACGAATACATTTACTCCCAAATAGAAAATGCATTCTTTTCAGTTCCGTTTTGAAGATTCAAAAATCCCTCAGCAAGACTCGGCACAGGTGGCTTACTGGGCAAGCTGGATATCGTTTTGGAATAAAAAGCAAGGGGATATAAGCAGAAACCTCGGCCACCCCCCCCCCCCCCCCTTCACACACAATCGCTTTCTCATTTCATGTTATCTTTCACCTTCTGTCGAGGAAGCAAACTGTCATTCCTGCATGCTCGATCCCATTTCTCAAAAACAAAAAATCCCCGTTTCAACAGGTTCACCGGTTAAGTGCGCGAATTCAAACCTGCCCCGAATTAAACAAAAGACTTATTTACAGCTAAGAGAAAATGAAATGACACCAAAATTGGTGTGTAGATGGGCAATAGGGAGTTAGGACTACGTTAAGAACTATGAAAAAGTTATGCGAAATGAAGGCGTGGCGAACGTTGGAGTTAGGTGGATTCCCAGCCACTCAGGCGGCTGAAAGAAAAAGTCATCAATTTCCCTTCCTTCACATAATTTTCTCAGATGTCTAACACAACTTTGTTCTACATAAAAAACCGTACAAAGAAGTTTTTGAATCTTCCTAAACCTCATTTCCTCGCCTAGCTACAACTCTACAAATATTTTGTGACGGCAAACCTGCTTCAAGCGCGTAAGGGGGGGCGCCGGACACAGCATGTCGCCATTTTGGAGTACGAATATCTCTAGTTCCTTTTCGTCTGTTCAACGTTGTTTTTATGTTTTGTTCCATTATTTTTCTCGATTTGGTTCATTCATGATCGCGTCATAGGTGATGTCGTATTTTCGTGGCGAATTCTACGGGGATTTCCTTTTTGAAAAACTTGAAGAGCACCTCATGCAGAGCCTTGCCCAGTTATCATACAAACGACAACAGCCTATGTATAGCGAGAAATGATGCCTTCATTACTGCATATGTGAGAACAAAGCAAGAGCAAGCACGAATCACCCGCCAATTAGCTTTTTCGTTTTAAAAGCATAAAAAAGCCATATTGGAGCTGACTTGCGCGCGCGGGGGAGATCTCAGATAATGGGTGCCGTGAAAATTTCATAAACAGCAAAGGCAATTTGAATGCCCTTTAGCCTTAAAATAATCTGTGGAATGTAAGCTGTTGGAGCGCCTGGATCGCGGAGATCGTGACTTTGGAGGGAAAAGGGCCCGATTTGACCCCCTCAGTAGGGTATAAATACCGGTGGATAGGGGGGAGCAGGCAGAGCATGAAGAGAGCGCTCCGGGGAGTTTAAACGAGCCATCGAAGAGAGGTGGACCTCCCCCCTTAGATAAAAAGAAGCTAGAGAACCCTGCTGAGCGGGCCAAATCGGGTCAGAAAGACCCATATTCGTTGTTAAGTGTTCAAGTTGTTCAAGTTGTTCGAGTTATTCTTGTTCGTTGTTGCCATAGAGATAAGTATCTTTATTCTAACCGTGTCTTTATTGATCGATCCGGTTCAAACCGTCAATACCACTAGACAACCCCCGTTACAAAGCTACTTAATGACGGCAGCCAAATTGTTTGCCTCTCCTATGGGTGCGTTGGCAGTCAATGGACGGACTCGAAGAAAACCTTGCAAAATTCTCTCAATTTTCTCTTTTTTTTTCATTTGCATTTTTTACATGATATACGATATTTATGATAGCCGTATGGTTGTTTAATCCAACAAGATTTACTTTGCAAAAATGGCGATCTGAAAAAGTTATAAATTTTGAAATAACAAAACAAATTGGGCAGAACTTCCCGGATAACCTATTAGTAGGACAAGATTGTGGAAAAGGGCATAAATTTTTATATCTTAATACATTTGTAAGCAGTTTTGCTGGCATTCCATGCGTGAAGAGTGTGGAAGAATTTTACTAATCTGATGATTTTGATAATATCTTGATTTATCTGTTCTTCTTCTCTGCTTATAAACTCTAAGGTAGGAAGTAGGATATGCGCGACTTAACAGCATCCCGATTGGATTAAAATTGGAGAACAGTAAATATCTATTCAGAATACCTCCTTAGTGTAAGAATCTGACATAATAGTTGTTGTTATATATATACAACTCGAAAGTGGGACAATTTGAGCATACCAGTGATTCTTCAATCTTTACCGCAAAGTACAGCATGCAGATAATCAGCTGAATGTTTTTAGCAATATGCATGCCATTTCCGCTGTGAACGCTTTCATTTAATAACCAATCAAATTTTGTTGACCATTTAATTGTATTTCTATAAAACTCCCAATATGCTGTGATTCAACAGGCCTGATTACAAAAACTGAAGAGCAAAGATACTTTTGCTTAAATGAGAGTAGTCAAAAAAGACGTGCGATAATATGTAGGTTAGACGATTGCGCACGTTTGTTGTTTCTTATAAACGATCTCATAGAGATTCATTGTAATACTATACAGAACAGAATTCGATCAGCGCGCATGAATTTACAATCAGTAAATTTCCCTTGAAAAGAGTGGACCACTGAAGCAGTAGGAATCTCAGTACAAGCGGGTAGAATATAGTGTGTCCTTGAAAAAAAGTAACATGTACACGAAAGGAACAACCAACACAGTGATATGGAGGCAATATGAGGCTGGAAAATTAGTTCTATAGATACAGCAAAGTCCTCTAATAAAAAACCTTCAAGAAAATTCTGAAAACTGGAGCGACCGTATCGGATGATTGAGACAAGTGGATGATAAGAAAAAACTGTCACCGGCTCAACAATTACGTGGACTATGGAAATTAGCAGATAGTATCTTCTGTATTCGGCTTCTTCATACTTGCTATAGTTGGGTTGTCCCCGACAGGAGAAGAAAGTCTGAAAAGTTTGCTGTCAAGACTACGTACTTAATGACATGCTTGATTTCAGATTTTAGAAGTTTACATATCGCGGTATCGCAATTTGAACGCCGCGAATTCAGATTTGTTAAACTCAAATCCCAACAAAGCTCTATGAAATTACTTACAATAAAGGAAGCCATCTGCTTGAAAAAGCAGAAAAAGCCCGTGTAGTAGGTAGAACAGTGAAACGCAACATTCATTTATCAACACCGGTTTGATCCCTTCAAATCAGGTTTGGATTCTCCAGATGTACGGCAAATTTAGAGCTTGCCAAGCTATGGCAAAAGGCTTTGCCTTTTCACCTCGAGCAAAATTTTTTTATGCTCTCTCTTCTCTATCCTGAAACAAAAAAACTGCATCAAACGCCTCTTATCTGGTTAGTTTGTGGTTATTTGGTTAGTTCTCCGCCAAATTCCTGTCGCATCATTTTTTCAAAATCGTAACTTCTTGCAGTCTCTAAGGTTTGCACAAGCTTAATTTTGTTAGGTGGAAGATTTTTTGTTTTTGCGCTTCAATGATTGTAAGTTTCAAAGTATAAGGAATAAGATCACACATTCGATCATTTTTGGTTAGGTCGCCAAAGATGTAGACTTTGCTATAAAACTTGAAGCGAATCGAGTACCTTGAAACGATAATCTCCGTTTTATTCTCATGCTTCTACAATATCTCAAAGGCTTATCCTTATCAAAAAGCAGCGAAGGTACTCTTACAAAGAGCATGAGTAGCTGTGCCTAGCGAAGTTGAGCTTGTGCAGATGCATCCAGACAGCAAGAAACGATTTTTCAGAAGCACTGATGCGATAGAACCTTTGCACTAATCAAATGACTGAAGTCAGCACCGCACAAAACCATAACCAGTTCCAAACGAGCAGAACTGTGTAGAGTGGCGTTCTACCGTACACCTACCGTACCCTAGCACACTGCAGTAGTGCCACATGGCCACGGCATATCAATGTCACAAAAAAAACCATTGTTTTTAAACGTTAGAGCGGGCCCACCGTGACGAACAAATGTACAGATGATGTTTAACCCATTGACGACGACGCCTAGTTTTGCGTGGCGGCGCTGTGGGACGACGCGATTTTGCACAACAATTGCGGCGCGGGAAAGTTTTGTGATTATTTACAAAATGTAAAAATGTTTTGTAAACAACTACAGCCATCTTCTTAGACGAGAAGTCTACAGGTTCCAAGAGTGCAAAAAATGGAAAAAACTGAAAAAAATGGTGAACTCTGAGAAAAATACTAGACCTGGAAAAAATATGATTTTGAAAGGTGTGTGGGCCACCGGTGGTCCACATCGTCGTCAATGGATGAAAGACATTTTTTGTGCCATATATCCGCGCGGGCGAAAAATGTTGTAAACAAGGAAAGGATACTTGGTCGGAGTATCTTCACATGAAATGTATACTGTCTCATAGGCCAAGAAACGCTGATTTCAAATATGCTTTCGATATCTGCAAAGCGCTTCTGGGAGGGAGCGTGTGGGAATTTTTGAAGCAAAATTTCAACCTCAGTTACAAAAAGGTCATTCAGAACTGTAGTATGTGAGTTCCAATGGGGCCGTGATTCCGCCAGGGCGCTTTATGCACTCAATAACTTCACTCTAATAAAATTATGTTAGTCATCATTCCTCTCAAGCGCCGGAATGACCCCGACACTTGTTTTTTCCCTTGGCCAAACCCTCGAACTTTTCCCTCAAGAATTCCCACAACTCCTCTTCGAAAAGCGCTTTACAGATACCGAAAGCATGGAATCAGGGTTTCATGCTCTAAAACACAGTACACATTTTATTTGGAAACTCCACTTCGATCAAGTATCCTTCCCTTGTAAAATTGATTGTTCGATGGCGCATTTGATAAGTTAATCCGACAATATATTCTCAATCATTGCATCCAAAACTCTCTGCATCAATGCTGAGTACTCCAGCTTGACATCGTTGAAAGTAAATTTTGGATACGATGCAGCACTGAGAGGTTCCTGCATGTTGTTTGGAGCTGATGTTTTTCCATGGAGCTTTGCGTTTGTTTATGTGAGATCTTCCCTGTCATGCTCTTAGTGGTAATTATGAATTTCAATTATTGAAACGCACATTCGCACATTAGCTCAACTCATAGCCAGTAATCTGATACGAAAATTCAAACTGTATATAAAACGAACTGTTCGCTTTGTCGTTGTGCGTATTTTCGCGCAACTCCACTTTCGTTTCCACGTTCGCCTTCCGCTACCTTCATGAAGTTGTCTACCTGAAGAGTGTGATTTCAATTTCCATCGATATATTCCGAAGGTGGAGTTTTGTAGACTGAGGGAAGATAGTCATCGTAAAAAGATGCCTGATAAGTTGCATAAAGGTCTGATTTTTTCCGATACATTATGGTCATACAATCTTCAATATATGCTGAAAATTTGAATCAACTTACAATAATGGTGATGGGAAGAGCTAGAACAAGAACTCCGCAGGCGATTGCTCCAGTTGCCACGAGTTTACCAGCTGCAAAGCTTATAGAGTAAACAGTAATTTGAAACAAAATAGCAGATAGAAAAATTAGATTTCTTGAATTCTCTTGTTCGAACATGGATAATTATAGATACTGTTCTTGTTACATTGTATTTGTGATAACAAATGGACAGATAATTATGAGCATAAAGTTGAATGAAAGAACTCACGAACAGTAATCGGCGTTAGGTCACCATATCCTGAAAGTAGAACATTGTAATAAAAAAAAAACGTGTTGATGATTTCGTAAAAGCCATGCATTTGGTCCCTTCGTGAAAAATTACAATTTCAGTTTCCCATCCCAACAATTTATGGAACACTTGAATTATTAGATTGTGAAGAAAGTTCCCGGATACTTGCAGTCTTTTGAAATTGCTGAGCTCCCAGAAAGGGTCATTTTGAGCTGCCAACAGATTGACCCTTTTTGGGGTTAAGTTTTGCTGTAATGACAATGCTGTCTATCACATTATTTTGATAGTCAGCACTTCATTTCGGCCTACCAGCATGCGCAGAAAGAAGAAGGTCGGTTTGTTCTTGTAGGATCATATCAGGCAAAACGAGCGGCGGAGAGTTCACTTTATTTGTATGAAAATCTCTTGGTCCATTAATAGGGCAATTCATGTCAGTGAGACTTTAGGGCGGCCTCACCCGCAAAAAATTTCTTCCCCGAATTTTACTAAATAGGCGATTTCTTTGAACTAAAATGCCCAATTTCCGAGTGATGACTTTGAAGTCTTCTCCTTCGTCGAAATTTTGATGACCGCAAATATTGTTTATTCAATGTCTTGCACATTTTTTGGCTGCGGCTTTCATACCGACATGCTCCTATTCCATTCTGCTTGTTCAGCGCAAAAGATTGGTACCAAGAAGAAAAATAGTGAATTTTGCATTGTTGTAAAGATTTCTTTCCTTGGTGTCAAAATCAGATGCGGTTTAGCGCCAAAAAAGTTTTGTTTATTGTAGGCTTTGTCCTGCAGAAATCTTTGAGAACTTATTGTTGAATTTCAGCCGAGTGCGATAGAAAATGACTCAAAAAATGAACTTTCTCACTTTCTCAAATCTCTCTTTACAAGCCAATAAAACTGATCGATGCTAACATAGATTTTTGTCATGCACTAACATCACGAGTACAAGACGCACCCCTTTTTTTGAACTCGACCAGCCTTAACACACCAAAAAATTTCGCGACCAAAAGACCCTCTACGCTGATACTCATTACCTAAGTCAGGGCCCGGAATGAGTCGGTTTCTAAGATTTCTGAAAACGAAGTCTCCTCTGATTTCGGAAGTTTTACGAAGTCCCCTTTGACCTACCTGCTTAGGAGCAAATGAAAACAAGAAATATTTACTAGTCTCTGAAAGAAAAAGAGTGAGATAAGAGTGAAAATCCAAATTGGAAGCTGAATGCTACGCATGCACAAGACTTTGGCATTAGAGCGCGATATTTAACAAAGCGAGAAGAAATGAAGGCAAAAAACAAAGGAAAGGCGATGATATGAAAACGTCTTCATGGTCAGGGATAGATTATTGACCGGGGAATCCGTCCATGCTAAAAAGATCCGAAACTTATGTGAAGTGACGAAAATACAGGGTGTTTGAAAAGTTCGTGTCCTAAGATACTTCCAATTCGAATTTTGACGCGTTTTTTGTTTTATTGTGTTCATCAGACCCAAATACCATTGTTTTAGTGGAATCAAGTTTCTTCGCGGTTTCTTTGATTTTTTATTAAATTGAACCACATCAGTATAGCTTTCCAAACCTCTTTCCTTAAAACGCTTGTTACAAAAAAGGAAACATAATTCACAGTAAACTTGGTATACCTGCCGAAAGCCCTTTCTTTAAGGTTTCTCAAATGTGCTTTTACTTTCGTAGAAGTAAATTCGTTTTGAAATATCGTGCCTTGAAAGGCAAGAGATCCACTTTCAGGATTTTTCGTCAAAAAGTCCAGCACCAAAGTTTTTATATTTTATCTTCAAAACATTTGCAAGCGTGCAAAATTCTTGAAAACAAGTATAACGAAGGTCAGAGAGTTGTGCTACAAAAACATGTTGAAAGAAGACTTAAACTTTTCAAACTGAAAAAAAAATTCAACGCAAACTGGGTGCCGCGACTGTCTGCTGTGATTTAGCGCATAGAAAAATCTTCGTTAGCAAGCTACTGAAGAACTTTTGTTATATAAAGAAAGTGTAAATATAGGACTATTTGTAGTAAAAAAACTAAAAGCTGTTCCCTTTTCCGGCGTTGAAAAAAAAAGAACAAATCAGACAACGCACTCTCCAAGAAAGCTGAAAAAATTGTTTACTTCCAAATTTTTTAGGGTATCTTGAGGAAAAAAATATTTTTCTTTGTTGATTCAGTGGTTTCTAATTTTGGCGAACACACATAGCAAAAATCGAGTTAGCGTTCGCAGTTGAAGTGCTTAAGGACACGAACTTTTCAAACACCCTGTACATGCTCCAGACGATCTCAGATCGTCTGGTGGCCGTCTGGAGACGGTTTTTTTTCTAATTTTGGAAAACGTATTACTTCACATAAGTTTTCAATCAAATCTTTTTACATAATACTTTCGCATGTAATTTTCTATACATACAGTTCAGTTTTGGTGTCATATGCTTCTGTGTGCGCCGCAAACAAGCAATTTGTTTATTTAAAAGCAGCATTCACCCAGAATTTGGCCCCCCATGTTTTCGTCATTCTGGGGCCTTTCCGTGGCCCTGATTGCAGTTCCGAACTTCAAACTCTCTAAAATTCACAAAAGACCCGATTCTTAGGGAGCCAGTCTTGAGTGCGCGGACGAGTTTCGAAATTGCTCGTCTCCGTCGGCAGGAAGCGGGAAGGAGCTGCAACTGCATGGGTGCAATTGCATTGCAGTGTGCAGTGTGCAGCCTCTGCTCACTACCTTGTCAATACGTGTCGGGAGGCACGTATTGACAAGGTAGTGAGCAGTCCCTGGTGGGCGGAGTCTGATATCAGACTCCGCCCAACCAGGGACTTTCAGGCCCCTTATCTCCATTCAGAGACAACGTTAGAAGACCGGACCAACGCAGATGCCCCTTTTCTGGGGCCTACATTCAGGATCGACACTAATCGGAGGGGGTCAGGTTTAGCCTGGACACTGCCTTTAAGCCTTGCTTTTAAATCGCGCGCACTTTTCGCCATGCACGATAGAGCATGTCAATCGTGTAATAACCTGTCCGAAAAGCTTGTGTTCGACTAAATGGCGCTTATTCTTGGTGCTCGGTTCCGACTCGTCAAAAACGATATCCCTTTTGCTGTTTGCCTTAAAAACGAAGTCCAGCCTGCTTCCAGACGATCTGTGCCGGACCCTGACCTAAGTTGCGTGGAAAAGCGAACATTTCGCGAGGCACAGTGGTGCGACCTTCCTGCTTGCTCAAAAAAATGAAAAAGGTGCGTCTTGTAGTTGTGAAATTAGGATAATTTGATTGAAGATATGGAAATTCATGAATAAAGTAAGGCCAACATAACATTTGATGTTCTTGTTATATTGCTCAAAGATATACCAAGAACAATCTAAAACACGAAAATCAATCTGAACTCACCGACAGTTGTCATTGTTACGATGCACCTAAATATATGTATATTGTATCATTGTTTTTATACACTTAGGTTAGAACTTCCATAAAAGTTGACATACCACCAACAAGCAGCCGGAATAGAGTAAAATTGTGAATTTGGTTCGTCTTTTTCTAAAAAATATACCAGTGTTGAAAAGAAGATTACACCCGTTAACACGACCATTGCCATCATTCCCAACTGGCGAAATGATGCCTGCAAACTTTTTTTTCGTAAACCTCGCATGACAGAATAAATTGGGCCAGTTCTCTCACAGAAAAATGTCTCATTGGGAAAATTTTTACTTAACCACCATACCTTGAGCGTTTTCCCAAACATTTGCAGGCCACTACTGTAGCGACCAAGCTTCAAAACTCTAATTACCCGCAATACTCGAAGTATTCTTATGACCAAGAATGCTCCCTGTAATTAACAAATTGTGATCCAGAACTGTGGAGCATATCTTGGATCTTACCTTGAGATCTCTAAGTTGGTCAGTGCTTACACCAACCATAAACAACAACATTTCAATAACGAAAGGGAGTATAGCCATCAGATCGATGATATTCAACATTTGGAAGAATGTTTTCCGTCGATCTGCCGTCACTAGCATTTTTGTCACTAAAGAATCGAGATGTACAATGGTGATTGTTATGGCAGAATTATACCCACCGTACTCCAGCATGAACCACACGATACATGCGTATTCTATGTAGCCTAATATGGGGTGTGGTTCCATGTCAGTAACAACTCCTGGAAACAGACTTTTGCAACTTAACCTAAAATTTTGAATACTTGTTCAGCCAGTTCTGCGGAAGAAATCGAATTTGTAGTATTATTTAGTTGGTAAATTCTTGATTTGTCGAAAAATGACAAAGGAAATTTCCATCAAATACTTACGATTTAGTATCATATTGTTTAGTTGACCATCTCAAAGTATGATATTGCTATGGACACCGACTTTTTTATGTGTTTTGAAGTCACAATTGACTCAGTTGAGTGAAGTTGTATACCCTTTGATTCAACTGGCTTGGCGGCTGAAGGGCGGGACTGTGACCTAATTAAGGCTAGATAATGATCGGAGAGCACACGCGCTAGAGAGACGCAGACAGCGTCGCGGGCGCAAGCGGCCTTAATTAGGTCACAAAGCCCCGCCTTCCAGCCGCCAAGCCCGTTGAATCAAAAGTTACCTAAGACTATTTGCTCTATTTGCAACTATTTGCTCACCATCGGTCGTGTTCTTTTGTACAGCAACTTGTAAATCTGGAAGAGAGCCCAGCACCAGTCCTGAGATTGATATAAGCACGAATAATATAGAAAATGTGGCGAAAATTTGAGCATAGCCAGAGCTGAAAGAGAGATGATTACATATATGTATTGAATCTATGTTTTTTTAAATGTCTCCCCTCCCCTCATGCAAAAACTGAGTATTTTTGATCTTTCGTGCATTTCCAGATCAGAAAAGGATGATATTGATGCAATTTTTCATTTATCTATTTCAACTCCCCTCAAAAGTGCACGAAGTAAACTATTAGGTTTTCCCAAAAGTAAACTCCATTTTCAAATAAATTGAGCTGTTTTTGCTTTCCTAAAAGATTTATGGCATTATTCGATAAAGCGGAGAACTCTACAAGAACCACCAAAGATCCACCTAAGTCGTTATCCACGTGAAATTTGGAGACATAAATCAAAATTTTTCAGCTACCCTTAAAATCGGATCTTCTTCAAAAAAATTCCTACTGACTTACAACTTGGTCTTCATATAAAAGACACAAGTAGTACACAGAAATGTATTTGTTGGATTCTTTCTGGAGCTCAGAACTGAGAAACAAAGATGGTCCGAGAACGCCACTTTTTCGAGTTTTTTAATGTAAAAGTTGTTATTTCTCCCCTATTAGAGCATGTACAGGGGTGAAGGATTAAGCACATACTTGGTGAGGTTTGTAGTATACAATACTTTATGGGGATGACCTGAGGCCGAGTTTGCCATTTTTGGACAATTTTGGCTCCAAACTTTCCATGGAATGCGACTTAGGCCGATTTTTAGTGCATATTTTGTAGAACTTCATTTGCTCTATCGAATGATACCCTAAGTATACAAGGAAAACAATAACAGCTTAAATTATCCAGAAAAGGAGTTTGCTTTTGGGACAATCTAATAGATTGTTTTAATGATCTAATGAAATAGGAAGAAATGCGGGAACGCATATGTGAAAACGAAAGCTTAATCTGTTGCTAACCTCGTCGGCTCTTCAATAATGTTCCAAATTTTTCTTCGAAGATCTCCCAAAGGCAGTTGCTTGAAGTGATTGGTGGGCGTCTCCTCAGAAGAAAACGAAGAAATGGAGTCCAGATCCTGGCAAAGTAAAGCTGTATGCGATTTTTACACAGCAACTTAATTGTGACCCAGCAAAGATGCCGGTTCTAAGTGAAGCATAATATACAGAAATTCTATTTTGTAAAAATGCCTGTACATCAGTATCTGCACAGCAACAAGGAGCGAGGTAGTTGTCGGGTACGATGCCCCAGTAATCTAATTCGTCGAGAATGTCGATGGGGCAGAGATGAGAGGGCTGGTGTATTTGTCCTAAAGGAGAATCATAAAAGTCACTAGAAAATATGTAAAGGGAAAAATTCTTACCGGTAAGATAAAACTGATAGACAATATGAAACAATGAGGGCGGTCGCTCAAAATAATACTCATTAGTGGATGAGAAGTATGCATCAGCTAAGGTGAGACGTTCCGTAGTGGTGTTCATATCCAAGAGCCACATCAATCGACCTGAAAGCAACAAAGAATGACTTCTTCGGACCATTTCCTAGAATAAAAAATAGATATGATGTAGTGCATTGACGCTGAAGAGCATCCGCACATCATTCGTTTTTTAGGCTGCTTGAAAAAGTTCCCCATTTTGTGATTTTTTTCAATTGCATGATTCACAGTTATGTTCCAACTGCTTTCCCAGGACTTTTATATTTTCAAGCTGCTTTAAGGCTGTTCAGAAGCCTCATTCCTCCATATTTTTTGGCTGATTCCTTTAATTTAGGGTTCTGCGTCTGCGGCCAAACTACTGAAGCTTTGAAAGAATACCTAAAAAACGAAGTTTTATTCACTTATTTATGTGAATTCGAAAGTCAAAAAGATCTTATGGAAACGTTTAACATCAAATGAGGGCATAGTCGCTCATTTCATAGCCTAATCTACCAATCTTTTTGAAACAAAGTGATCAAGCATCAATTGCCAGTATGCCTACGCTAAAACTGAGTAGATGGAGATTAGAAATTTTACAGATGAGCTCTACTTCATACCCAGCATCTCGTTTGGTATCTAATGGTTGTACTCTCTTATGACAATCAAGTTATCAGTGAATTCTTTAAAAGAGATACACACATTCTTCCGAATTCAGACTACTGGAACAGCTCCAAGGCTGAGGCGCAGAGTCGCTGCGGAGCCCTATGGTTTTAACCTGTGGCGGCATGCGTACTCTTCAACAGAGCAGAAAACCTCACAGATGGATGAGACTCTCCTAAAGCAGTTTCCACCCAGAAATTCGTCTTCCATGTTTTCAATGTTATCGGGCCTTTCCATGGAGCTAGTTTCGAATATGAGGTTTAAGTTAAATACCAGAAAGCTCCAAAGTTGCCCCTTTCTGAAGCCTATTTTGGCAGACGTGGACGAGTGCTCCGGCGCTAGTCACGTTGCATGCAACAGGAAACCTCGTTGTGGGCAACAGTGCCACATTACAAACTATGCGTCTCGACTTTGCTTGTCATGTTCAACGCCACGGGGCTTTCCGCGGGTGGGTGCAAAAAAGGGGCGGAGCGCAAAGAGGATTAGGTCCATTATCTCCTTTTGTAGGCACCATTAGGTCCGAACGATCGCCGTTGTTCTACTTTTAATGAATGCTAGTAGGATAAGTAATAATCTGGAGTGAATAGATTTTGGATGGAGGCTGCCTTGAAGGCATAAACCGCAAGTCGGCTCGTGCCGTCTCCTTCGGTACCACTGTTGTCAAGCTGATTTCAGAATGAAAGGTGTTCTCAACATTTTTCAGTTCATCTAAAGGATACAGATCTTTAGCATGAGTATATGAAGAATATGGAGAGTTTTGTGAGTAAACAATCGTAGCATCCAGAGCATAACTGAAATTTCAAGCAGTTTAAAAAAATTCTCTGCTCACCGACTTTCCTCGCATATATAGTATCTTTCTTCAGCATGAATCGTTGTCCGCCTACATTGATTCGAAGAAATTCCTTTGATTTAGCGCTGTCGACGGAGATTCCCTGAAAGTATTTTGTCACTGCACCTGCACCTGGTGGAGCGCAATTTCTTTCTATCTATATGTTTCTATGCACACACGCTTGCTATTTCTACAACCTTTGCAAACTTACATTGCTACACTGTCGAAGAGGGATGTCATTTGGGGACAATGAATCCTACAAGAAAATCTACAATGTATGATTTTTGGGACTATGTGAAATGGTGATGTACACAATGATAAGTTTGTGAAAAAAGCGAGAGTAGGAAAGTGTTGGACTGCTAAATTTTTGTAAAATTGAAGGCAATGATGGGGTATTGTGGTCCGATAGCAGTCTCAACCCAAGAAACAAAAAAATTAGAATTTACTTTCGCCTAAATCTAGCTTCAAGTAGAGATGCTGTAAATGGAACTGAGGGTATAAAAGTGAATACAAAAAGCTAAAACCCATTAGAATCATGAATAGATAGTTAGGTTAGGTGTTAAATTACAAATTTTCTTTTCTAGAATGGATCGGCTTACCTTTGAAGTGTGAGCTAATTTGCCAGGTTCTAAGCAATTCTCCAGTAATGGTGGATCCTCTTCGGTTGACGGGACGTCAAGACGATTGTTCCTGAAATAATTCCCACAGATTACTGGAAACACCGTTCTTTGAAAGATTCCACTCTATTGCCCATACACTTCATCTGTATGTCTCAAGGTATATAAAAAAACGTTTACTTCGACTATTCGAATCATTTTTTTTTGTGCCGACATGACGATTCTTGAAATTTCTCCTTATGTCAATATCAGAATGCTTGACTGCCTGAATTCGATCAAAAACGTTGAAGCACATAGCCCAAAATTTTCCACATTTCGATGTTGTTCACCTCTACAAATTGATAGAGTATTGCGGTCCCATAGTAAACAGTGTATCCGACAAAAAGAGCATCAGAGGTAGAGATAAATCTATCATCTCATAAAGCTGTTCAGTTTTGAAGAGATCAAGAAATGAAGTTCTTTGAGTGTATGGTTCAAAGTCATCCTGCTTTATTTGACGTTTTGCAAAGCAGTTTTCATAACCAAATTTGCAACGACTGATCTATACTATTGAGAGAAGTATTTTGTAAAAACTAAGGCCCGTATGCACGTACATCCCCGCGAGGAGGGGAGGGGATCTGAGAGGGAAAGCGTCATATCTCGCTAGTCTACATATCTTTCTCCTTCTTTCTCTATCTTGCTTATGAAGTCTCTCATACACTGATACCTGCGCATAACGGATGCCAGGTTACTGCCGTACAAGATTAGATATTCAAAAATGTGGGGTCCCAGGGGATCACCCCACATTTTCAAAGTCATTTATCTTCTTGAAAAAAAAAACAATGAAAACGCTGCAAAAGTGTACTGAAGATATACTTACTGCTGAGCATGTTTTCGACAGAAGAAATGGAATTTGAAGATTTTGATTTTTTCGATAATTCTTGGCTCGCGAGCAGCGGTTTATCGAAAATTTTCATATGTTGAGATTTCACTCATTTCTACTATAAACATGTTTAGCAGTGCTGTAGTATATCCTCAGTACAATTTTGAAGCACTTTCATTGAGTTTTCAGGAAGATAAATGACTTTGAAAATGTGAGGTGATCCCCTAATCTTGTATCGCAGTAGCCTGGCATCCGTTATGTCCAAGTGTCAGTGTATGAGAACCTTCAAAGGCAAGACAGAGAAAGAAGAAGAAAGATAACATATAGACTAGCGAGATATGACGCTTCCCCTCTCAGATCCCCTCCCCTCCCCGCGGGGATGTACGTACATACGGGCCTAAATTTTTCATCATATTTAATTATTTTTCATTACATTTAATTATCTATTCGGAAATTTGCTTGAGGCTTTATAATATGCCTTAAAAGCTTCGGTACTTTTCCGTTATCCGAACCCATTTTTCCAAAAAGCTCTTATAAAATACATTCGGAGTCTAAGTATAGATTTTCATAGATTCTACGAGGACTGCCTCCCTGCCACGTGTCAGGAAAAAATTGACACGTTCTAGTCCACTTTGACACGTTCTTTCGAAATCATTTCCGGTGAGGTAAAAGAGCATTTGTAACCACTTAGAAGCTCTCCAGCTGATTTACATAAGAGCAAAACAATCTAGAACCATTACTAGAATCTTGATTGCTTCTAGCAATGATTCAAGAATGTTTTTCTCTTCAAACTTTCCGCCATGCGAGTTTAGCAAGAAAAGTCTACAAATGATCGCTTGAAGTAGTACCTCGCTGCTGCTTTACGCCGCTTAGGTGATGGCACCCTAGCGCACTTCTCTATTCTGGGCACGTCTAGTATGTTCATTGATAAGAGGGCGACGTTATTATTATAACAATGTTATTTTTGAAATTGTTTAATCGAAAATAGGGTCATTATTGACGAAAAAGGTTGAGCATATGTCGCTAGGTAGGGCAAGCGAAGTCTTGGTATAACTTGATGAACATGTAGGTGGCATGTCAAATTTTTTTGACACGTGGCAGAACGTTGACACTCTTTCCTATGAAGTTGGGAAAAAATTCGGTGCAGAAAAAGAAGCAGTATCCTTCTTTGCAAAAATGGGTCCGGATAACGGAAAAGTACCAAAGCTTCTTACTTGAGATACATGGTACCTTAAATGTTCGACACTAATTTGAAATCATCAATTATCCTAATTTCACGAGTACAACTAGCAACTTTTTCATTTTCCATCAAGCAGCTCGGTCACACCGCTGTGCCACTAGGATATCGCTTTTCCAAACAATTTTTTTTGGATAAGGAGTGGGACGGTGAGGGATCTTCTTTAGCGAAATTTTTTGGTATTTCAGACTGTTGCGTCTTGTACTCGTGAAATTAGGGTACTTCAATCTAACGTCCACTTATTATTTAGCAATTTCAAATAGTGAGAATCCACGTCAGCAAATTCGATGCTTCCAAACCGAACTAGATTTGCTATGCCAACAGTCAGTGTCTTTTTGAGTGTATGCCAAAAATTGAACATCTCACGAATCTACGCGCCTATTATTAGAACTATGAACGAAAATGTTCTCGTAAATGTATTCTTGTGAATGCTTAAGAGCCATCAGAACGTGAAAAAAAAAACAATAAATGTATTTCATAATGCGAGCGATGTTTATGGCGATCCCAGATTGAGTGCTAACTCACATGGTAAAGCTCGATCGTTTTCTCAGGCGATATCCGAGCCTGTCATGCGAATTTATATGGTATCCACGATTGGAGCGATGCCTATTTAGCCGGGTAATCCCGTGCGAAGTGGCCATTATTGAGCCCTGTAGCACGGCCGTGTTCATTTTTATCGATTGGTTATTCAGATGTGGATCGATAAATCAATAATCAGTGGTTTCAAGGGGGCTCAGCTGATGAACGGCACGTTCTGCACGTGGCAGTCGAATTTTTTCATTTGGCGGCGGCCAGGCAAAGACCTCTTCTTCTGCTGAAACGATTTTTCTTTCCTATAAGGAGATTCATGAGTCGAAACGTTGCAATTTCTTTTTTAAGGATAGATTAAGATGATCAGGATAAGAAGTGAAAGAAGAGCGGCTGTCGTTCTCAAAGTTGAAACAAATGAGAAAAGCGGTAAGGAGAAATTTAAGGGGAGTCCCATACAAATGAGGCTTCTACTTAACAAATGCGTGTATGTGACTCGATGCTTAAAAGTATAATTTGAATTTGAAGAAAAAATGTACTTATGTACTTCCGAAGCTATTAATAAGGTTTGCATAGAAGCCAACATAGCCGACATAGCCATAGCTAACAATGAATTCTGAAACCTTATCCTGTAAGTTAGAAATCTGACAGAAATCGAGATGGATGAAGGATATTTGCAAAACTACTCAACTTCTTCTAAAGAAAGAATTTATTGCACTGTTTTTGTCGCGAAAATTACATCGCGACAGCGGGATTAAAAGTCCAAAGATTTCAGGATTTGTACGAATCGCTAGGCGGCGGTGGAATCTTTATTTTCCAGAACTCTACTTTAAGAGAAGGTATAAAATTGATTTTGTCACAAAATGCGTCCGGACGAATCTGTAGCATTCCTTTTATTTAAAAGTTGGAAACTACGTTTAAGAATAAAACCTTTTTATGTCCTCTTAATTAACTGCAAGCGAGATCCTCTAAACGACATAAAATTTAAGAGTTTTTGATAATTTTATCGAATGCCATGAATGGAAGAAAGTCACTGTTTTTTAGTATTATCGTACAACCCAAAGCTAGAGGAACTCGGATATAAAGAGCATGTCTCGTATAAGGAAAGATGGATCAGAGATATCTTTTACCAAACAAAGAATAGCTGCAAGGATACGTGAACGTTTTCTATCGAGGATAGTCCTGGGTTTTTTCTTGAGATTCCATCTCTGAACGAAGCACATATATAATAGAGGCTGGACATGGTTATGACGGTGGTTTAGCTAGTAATGGGTTAGGATCGGATTTATGGGAACTTTGTCGTGCTTGTTCAATGATTTGATAAATTTATGGTAATTGTTTGAGCTTGAGCATTGAAAGTGGTGTCTTACGTAACACATTCTAGGAATCCGTACTAACTTTATAGTATACAAAATGATTGTTCAAAATTTCAAATGAAGCTTTTCTCAGGTGGACGAGTTCTTATTGTTAGATCTTGTATTAGGTTGAATGAGAATTATACCTGGCACCGAAGTTTTCAAAAAAAACGTGACCTTCTCTAACATTGCAGAGACAAAACCATGTGCTGTTCAGAAACACTTTGAACAAAAATATAGTGGCATATCGATCGATACAAGCTATTTGAGCAAAACACCTTAGAAGTGCATTTTGAATTTTGTCGTTGAGACTACTTTAGTTCAGTCCCGATTTCATGACTTTCTCACAAAACTGTTGGTGCTAATGAGATGTCTTTGAGAATGATTTTTTTACTGATTTTGATTAAAATCACATGAATGTTTAATAAATTATAACATTTACCAAATATTTTAGAAAGAGTTTAACATTTTTAGAATTTTTCGCATTTTCTGCCGCAGGACTTGTGTAAAGACCTACAGATGCTGGATATATAGAGTAATGCCCAGAAAGTTCAAGAAAATGAGGTTAAAAGCTTACGAGACCATCTTCAACAGAACGAGATGCATATAACACTACTTATTTTGCTCATAGATAAACTTGCAAAGAGTTCGCCTAGTCTGTAGAGTCCTCTCAGAACTTACAATTAACAAGTGGATTGATTCTAAAGATTTTTTGCTGAAACAGAGCTGTAAATTTTTATGGCAGGCTGAAGGAGGCAGAAAAGCTTCCAGAAAATCAGTTTAAACAAGTCATTTCGAATGTCATGTTCTCCAGGAAGATTAGTAGCTATTTATCATTAGTATACGATAGTGCACTATTTGTGAATTACAGTACTTTCTCTGTTGCCAAAAGATTTATCAGATTCTTATCGATTTCCGCGATCATTGCAGGTTAGAAGAATTCATAAATATTTAACCAGTAAACTGATTTGAACTTAGAGATATCGGAGAGATGATGTTTTCAAAACAAGTTCAAAATGACTTCTGCCATGAGGAGCGGCCCACCTAAGCGGTTCCACCTCCACCTCATTTTATGCTATTCTGAAGTCGTGTTACAGCAACCCAAGGATACCAATTGCAAAGTAATGGGTTATGGACCATATGATGCCACTCAAGTAGTAAAAAATCCAGAAATTTTTATTTTATGGGTCACAAGATGGAAAGTGTTTGGCTTTGGCTGCAGAGAATGAGGAATAAAGTGCAGATCGACCAGCAATGGGCATTTTTCGAGTTTCTTGCTTGAAGCTCGAATGAGGTGTAGATGGGATGCAAATGCTATAAAAAAGGGCAATTATGTTGCGCTTTGGGTTTTAGTAGCGAAGCAAATACGTTGCCAAGTAAATGAAATCTTGGATTTTCTTGTATAGAAGCAACAACTCCTCCACAGACAAGTTGTGAGTTTTTTTTTGAATTTGCTAGCTTATTATTCTGGTGTTGGAGCTTTGCCAAAAAGATCTTCGAAAACATTCACTTATAAAAAGCGAATTGGGGTGAGTCAAAAGTTATAAAATCTACTCCGTCCCTTTTTGAACCTATTGTGAAGTCAAATGGAATATTAATAGATGAATATGCTAAACCTCGACCAAAGCAATTCTTCTTTCTTTTTTTGGAGCCATGTTTTTCACGCAAAATTTCTATAACTCCCAAAATGATTGCAGGAGTATTGGATGCCGGCCTCTTCACAGTTCCATTGAAGTTGTTACTCCAAAATGTCAAAATGACGATTATTCAAAACGCAAAGCAGTTTTTCATTTCGTATTGGGTTGTTTCAAAAGTTCTACCCGTTTTCGAACTTTGACTTTGATTCACCATAACTCTTCTCAGAAATAATCTTTGCAATTGCTATAATCTGTATTACAATCTGCAAATCTTTGGCTATTCTGCGCACTTTTCAAGATTATTGCGGTAACAGTAGAGAAGATTTTATAGGCGAAAATCCAGGAACATCTCCTTATAGAAATCTTCACTTTGCAAAAGCATAACTTGATTTGGAATATAGCTGATTTACACGAGCACTGCTCACAGTGTAGAACATAGTCGACTGAGAGTATCGCTAACTTTGGATTCCATCAAACTCTTTCATAAAAATTTTATGCTGAAAAATCCGAAAGGACCCACTTATTTTGCTCTTTTTGAGGCGGCGAAAAATGTAATTTTTGACATTTTTGATTATGTTCGCCTTTGACAAACCAGGGAATCTTTTCGTTCTTTTAGTAGCAGTTGCTCTAGCTCTAATCTTACTATTTAGAGTAAAAGTTCCGCGATTGCAATATGTTTATGATTTTTAAACGGCTCGAAGGGACCATAAAAACGGTTATGTTTGAGCTAAAAATTTGTAGGTTCAAAATTTTTCTGAAATTATATCTCGATGAGCGTTTCGTAGCACAAGTCTCCAGCAAACATTATGTATGTTTTGAAGGAAATTTTTTCTTTTAGCTGTAGATTTCACGGCGATAGAGCAAAGACGAACATTTTCACATTTGTTTCGCTGTCTTTTCAAAATACGGAACCTCACAGCGAACAAAGATCTATAAAATGAAAATATGCCTGAAAAATTAGAAGAAAAGAGCTTTCGAATGATATAAGCAATGTTTATGAAAGATGGTTTCTTCCTCCAAAATCGGCAGTTCAAAAAAAAGGCATCGAAAACGGGTAGAACTTTTGAAACAACCCAGTAGAATCAAACTTTGGTAATGATCAACTTCAAGCCCTAGAAATTTTGATTTTATGTTAGATGCAATCATACTTTGAATTTTTTCCCCGGAAAAAAGTGCTTTGAAAGAAAATATTCAAAAGACGTGATAAGCTGTTGAAGAAAAAAGAGAAATAATTGCGAAAAATATTTCTCCCTTCAATTTTGAAACCTCTCTGAGACTTCGAAGTGAAAAACTGAAAAGTTGGTGTTATACAACGGAAATGCAATTCTTTCAGAATTCTGAGAATTTTTGAGCAGTGGATGAAGCAATCTTCTCAACATAGATGCTGGATAAAGGAGGAAAATCTGCGACGAATGCCATCTAGAATGCTGTTTATGGTTATTTTACCCTATATGCAAAATTCCGGATATGGGATGAACACCTCTCATTACATACTTTCAACCAGTATGCAGGATAAGCAGAGAATTTTCGAAGGATCAAAAAAATTTTCAGTTCAAACTTTTCCATTCTATAAACACTAAATTATACAGACACTTTAAGTATGTAACCATAAAGTAGTAATAAGAGTCATACCCTGGAAAGTTGTGTGCAACGAGCAGTACTTTTCGCAAAATGAGCGCAAATATAAAAATGAAAAAATAAAACGGCTAGCTTCCAGCTAAAACGGGAGAACTAACTCATCTAAAAGCAGATGTCGGCAATGATCTATACAGTAATAAATCAGTTGCCCCTTTCCGCTCTCAGGGAAAACATAGGCGGAAAGAGCAGTCTGTGGAGATTAATGGTGAATTTCGATGAAAAACGAGCTCATTTATTGACTGCACGGATTCCGAATGGGAAGTGTGCAAAGGAGGAAACAGATACGGCGACTCAGCAAATTTCTAAGAGAAAAATCTATAATGTAGATGAAACTTGAGCTATATTAGCGGAAGAAAAAGTGTAGCAATAATCAGATTTCTGAATCTTTTCATAAGAAAAATTATGCAAAATTTAGCCAACAGTTTTCTCTGCTAATGCCACTGCAAAAATAAGAATTTTTTTCTTCAATGCTCTTTTTCACAT